TTCCCCGGGGACCGGGAGGGGGGTGGGGTTTGGTGGGGGGAAAAGCAACCCCAACTCAAAAGGACCCCGCCAAGGTTGAGAAACTGCATTAGTTCCTCTGAGGTTGGGGGGCCTTGTTTCAACCACTTGGAGTAGGGTGTGCCAGTGGGGAGGAGGGGGTGCCCCAAGACCCTGGTCTCTCTCCCAATATTACTAAACAAACCATGGAAGTGAAGTAGCGTCAATATGCAGGTGATACCGACTTGGGCACCGTTACGGGTTTATTTCCAGTGTTTCACAGTTTTATTATTTATTGCTCTGAAGGATGGGTTTTAGGCCTGCTTCCTCTCATGCGATTCATGCTTTAATCGCTGGAGTTAAAAACCACCCAGAATCGGAAGCCGACAAAGTTGAGATCAGTCGTATTGGAGATGTCCACCCTGAGCCAAGTGGAGATGTAACAGGTGTCCTGCAGAGCGTAATGATCTGGGTGGGATTGTTACAGGCAGAAACTGGATCCCAGCAAGATGGAGAGGGTGTTTGTCCAAAAGGGAACTGGTATCTCAACCCTCATTCTGGATGGAGTTGCATTTCCTTCTGAAGGTTTAGGTCCACTCTTTGGAGGTCCTCCAAGACTTCCAGCTTCCCTCACAACAGTTTTGGCTGGTGTACCTGTTGCACCCCATTTTTAGGATGGGAAGCATTAGTGATGGTCAGTCATAGCCTTAGTAGTTCAAAGATGGACTACTGCAGTGCACTCTGCTGGGGACTGCCTTTGAAGACTACTTGGAAACCTAACTGGTATAAAATGCGGCAGCCTGTATGATGACAGATGAGAGCCAGTGTAGCAGGGCGGTATCATTATTGTACATGCTCCGTTGCTCTCTTTATTTATAAGCTTTTTGTCTATATTCAATTTAATGGGCTGCCGGCTTGTTTCTGGGTACAATTCAAAGTGTTGATTATTTACCTATAAAACGTACATGGCTTAGGTCCATGCTGCGTATCTTCCAGGCAGAATCTATTTATGTTATTTGGTCCATCCATGAAGGGATATTCTGGGTTCCACCTCCTTGACAGATCCAGAAATTAGTCTTTTCGATAACTTCTTGGTCCCTGTGGACTGTGCAACCCCCTGACAACTGTATGATCCCCGGCTTCTGCCTTTTCATAGAGCACCAAAGAACAGAGTCTTTAAGAGAGCTATTGGAAAGTAAGAGCCATGGTGTAGATTATTTTTAACACACACACACACACACACAGAGTCAATCCTTGGTTTATATTATTATT